TGTGTGAGCATCGCACACTGTGGCCTGGAACAATGTGTGCGTAGGTGTGGGAGAGAAGAATGAGACGCATTTGCATGGCCATCAACACTCTTGTCCCCATTAGCTTTGCCTCGTGTTTAGCTCGCATTCACTGCCTTGTCCCGGTTAGCCCACCGATGGTCTTTCACTCCCCTATTTCTGGTCCAAGTCAAGGAAAAGCTATTGAGACAAGAGACAACATCGGATTTTAGCTGCAGACATTTGATTAACCTTTTTGTCTAAGTGAAGGAAAAGATGCGCCTTTTTAGATCACTTTAACACCTCAATTTGCGTTTACTCAGTCTAAGTCCGTAATTTCTTAATGGTATTCTACTTTTTCGCCAGGAAATGCAAAGGAGACGATGAGCTGAGTATGGCAAGTGCTTTAGCACAATGAAAACAAAGGCGTCGATGCTGGAAGACTGGAATAGAAGGCTCTAATTTCGACTAGTGAGTTCTGCTACCTCCAAAATTGACCCTTACCGCCCACAAAGCAACCGAAGAGGGCCTTGCGTGGTGTCAGCGCGCTGAAAATTTTGATGTTTTATACCGAAAATTGAACACCTCAACCACTAACAAGATTGCTTATTGCACAAAGCCAAATACACCTTAAACAAGGGCGAAAATCGCTAAAAGTTCTCTTTTACACCAAGCACAGCTCCTCTCCAGCCAACTTGAGCACATTCACCGTTGAGTTGCAAGTGAGCTCCGTCCCTGAGTGCATCAATCGCAGATTTGCCGCCGAGCGCCAACCAAACGCACCCCGAACCTATCACCAGAGTAGAAATGCTGCATAAGAGGAATATTTGGATGAGGGGTTTGGAGAAAATACAAATAACCTGTATTAAAGTTGATGCAGTAGATGGAAATTGGGTCAATAAGTCCTCAACAGTAGAAACTCACTACATCAAGCAACTCCATAACGCCAGTGATCAGTTGCTTGCCATCGACGTCCATAAGGCAAACGTCGATGGTTCCACTCATTTCTGGACAGCTGACCTTCAAACTTTTGGTGTTTAAACGTTCACAGGGCATCTGTGACTCCAAAGCGACGGTGGCATTGGCGATACTGTAGCCGACCTCGACTTGGGCAGCGACGATTCGATGAAAGATTGTAACAACCAAGTCATCTGGTGGGATCTATTAAGAAATGAAGAGGAGGTAAAGTTAAACACCCCAACCTTAGGTATCAGTGGACCTTCGATTGGCATTGTAACGACTCTCCTTTCATTCCCAAATGCTAATAAAAAGTCTATTAAAGGAATGAAGATTTGCACTGCTAAATTCGCAGCAGCGCCGGAGGCTTCCAATTAGGGGAAGACATGAAAGTAGAACGCCAAATCTCCATAAAAATGGAGTACTTCAAGACATCTCCACAAGTTCACTAAATGATATTCCACTAACGAGGACAGATGTATGGGTGGATGGCTGACTCACTGTTGTGGCATCGGAGACTACAGTGCTGCCTAGCCGCTCCCCCCTTGTCTGAACAGCCTCAGTAGCCGTCGACAAGGCAGCATCTGCAGTGGTACAGCAAACAATTGGCTGCTTCACGGTGGAGTCGATGAGTGCAGCGTGGGAGGCGAGAACACGAGGAAGCACCTCTGAGTTCGTCGAAATTACCACCTGGATGGCGTCCTCTGGCACCAAGTTGCCCTGCAACAGAGCAAGATTTCATTAGAGATGCGATTCACCAATTGTATACCTTGACAATTAGTAGTAATTTGAGAGGTCAAATTAAAAATACGAAAAGTTGAAATGAAGACAGCAACAAACGGACCTTCTTGCGAGCGCGTTGTATCCGATTGATGATTTCGCGGGCCAAACGTTCTTCTTCCAACGCCGTATCTGCTCGCACGTCCAACAACACCAGTAAGCCTTTCCCATCGGTATGCGCCTCGTACTTGGGTCCCTCCGTCGCCCCTGATGGCACCCCTCCGATCGCCACTGATTTGCCCTTCGAACCTTTCGCTTTGGCATCGCGGTTCTCGAGGTCGACTTCTTCACCAACCACGTAGTCGACTGTCACGTCATCACCGCTCAGTAGCTCACCATGGACTGTCATCTCACCCGTCTGTATTCAACAAAAGCAACCATCGTCACAAAAAGGGTACTAGCATTAGCATCAGTAGCACTTGCCTTATATAACACTAAAAACCATGGCAATCTCCTATCTTTAACACCTTGCCTTCCGGCTGCTTTACACGACATCCACAAACAGAACTTGAAAACCGCATAAACGAGATCCAATGCAAGGACAGATTTCAACCATGGTCGGAGGAGGATGCCCTTCGATAGACCCCGGATTAAGTGGAGAACAAAAAATCTGCTACATGCAACCCAGTGACTTTGGGACACATCAAGAATGCGATTTTAACCACCATATCGAGAACTTCCACAAACACAGTGGTTGGGAGGTGAGACGGTAGGGGCGACCCCACCTCAGTGGCCCACAAGTTAATGCACTCGACGAGCTTTGAAGACGCCCAGACAGATCGCCTGCCTAGTAGTTTCGAGCGGACCTTCATGCCCCCAGTCTGGACAAATTTTACTAGCCAGAGGTTAAACGAAAGGTCATTAAAAAGTAAGAGAAAATCAAATAAAATAACCTGGTTTTTTGTGAAAACAAGAAGATCGCTAAAAAGGCCAAAAAAGTCAGTTTGTGTAGGTAGAACAATGATACATCAAGGCGGGTAAGACATGGTATCGAGGTAAAATGGATACAAATCATAAGAGCGGCTCCGGACCCAAAAAACGCCCGTCTTAAAATCCTGGAAACAGTCATTTCTTCTGGATAATTTGCAAGTCGCCTAGAACACTCAACTTCTGCCCAATTCCTTCCCGCGACCCTCCTACTTACTCGTGCCCGTGATGAAATATTTACGACTGTCATTCCCCTCACCTGCTAACTACTTGGGGTAGGAACTCGACCGAATTCGAGACAGTAGAGCCAAAAACCAATTTACATAACTTCCTGAGAAGCATCCTGTTAAAATTTAAGAAGCAGGCCAAATCACGCCGCAATGGTGGTACCTTAAGCCTGCTACTCGAAGCAAGACAGCAGTAAAACACGGAGCCGGGAGATAAAACCAGAGGATTAGGCAGGTGAGCGGCCAAGAACAGTGCCTGCGAGGCGATTTACGACGAACGACTTACGGAGGCAGGCAATGTCAACCAATTATGTGTCACCGCTCGGTAGTGGAGGCAATAATGGCCTAAACAAAGGTCCAAAAAACTAAAAAGGTTTCGTGGAAGGCCAAAATTTACGAATTCTAAGCTAGTTTTGCGATGGTATGTGACAGTGAACCAACGTAAAATTACAACCAATCAGCTCTCGAGTAGTTCGTATGTAAAAAAAGGGAGGCGATAACAGTTAATAAAAATGACAAAAAGATCCCCTCGGGTGAGCCAATCTCATACTCATTTCCTTTAAATTGCTTCAGAAGTTTTGCAAAAAAAGATAGAGCAAAACGAAGTGCCGCCAAAAAAGAAGACAAGGTTTAGGCTCACCGTTGGAAGAGATAGATCTAAAACACTGGTCAAAGAAAGAGGAACAATGAACCAACTAAAGGAACTTACTGTGAGATAAGCCTCCATAGAAGATTGTGGGAGGGTGGATACAGCTGCAGCAAGGAGAGGAAGACGAGCACGAAGGCGCGCGCCGAGGGCGGGGTTAAGACGAGCACGTAGACACACATTGTAGGTAGCCTTGTCGTCAGTGACAGTGAGATTGCGTACATTAAGTTCTTCCGTCACGTAAGACGCAAGAGCGATGACAGCCTCACGAGCTTCCGCAAGAGGATGGATCACCACGGCGGCGCGCAAGGGTGCCTTAAGAGGTAGGTCATGCCGAGTACGGATACTCCTCCCCAGTTCCACCGCTGCTTGCATCCATGCTACCCGCGCCTCCAGGGCTTCGTCAATACCCTTGCCCTCTGCTGACACACCTACAAGATAGTGCACCGATGCCGGCGCCCCATCTTCTCCCACAGCGCCTGAATCATCGTCCCTTAGTTCCTCTATAGTTAGCAATCACATTCACAATATAGTCGAAAATAAGGAGTCTGTGAAAACTTGTAATTTCCAGCAGAAAAAAAGACAGGTATACTTACCAAGAGGAAATTTGGAGAAGTCAAGTTTAGTCTTGAGGCGCTGGTAGATGAACTCTGTGAAAAAAGGCGCAAAGGGCGCCATCACGAAAACGAGTTGGAAGAAGACCTTTACGAGAGTGTGCAGTGCACCGTACCAATCCTCGTCTGTGTCTGTTGCCACTCCAGTCTCCGTCGATGCTTCGCCCTTCAGTCTACGCCGGTTCATGCGAATGTACCAGTTAACAAGGTGTTCGATGAAGCACACAAGTCGCGGCACCACCGTGTAGAGGCGGTAGGCTCGCAATTCGGTACGCACGAATAAGAGCAAACTCTGAGTAAAGGACAGTATCCACCGATCCATCAGGTTCCGGGATTTCGGCCACGCCTCTGGACGCACTCGAAATGTCGCGTTGTGAGCCCTCTCCCAAGGCTCGATGCCCGACTGAACAGAAAGAGATAAAACGACGTAAAAGTACAATCGGCATTCCCCTCACTGCTGTTGTCAAATCCTCAGGTTGGATGGAGATGTGGATGCATGAGTGAATAGACAACTATTGATTTGTAGCGCCTCTAATTCTTTACATCAGTTACGATAATTCAGATACCTTGTAATCAAAAATGTTTTCGTGCTACAGTCCATGTTCACAAAAATTCACCGACCAATAGCCCGTCGGAACGTGACTTATTATTATACCACTTTGCGCTACGGGAAGGAAACCATCTCCAAACAAAAGGGAAAATTAGTTGATAAAAGAAAGTGGGACCATGGGAAGATGAACGAACCTTCATGAGGAAACGGAAGGCGTTATACCAAGGAATAAAGACGTCCTTCAAGACATCGCGCACACCAGATTCAGAAAATCGCAGACTCTGGGCACGCACCACCGGGGAATTAACAAGATAGAGTCGCAGTGCATCGGCTCCATACTGTTCCACTATTTTGCACGGGTCTGGATAATTCTTTTGCCTTTTGCTCATCTTCTGTCCGTCACTGAAAAAGAATCAAAGAACGCACACTACTCATCTGCAATTTTCAGGCTCTAGCCAGTTGAGAATGCAACAAAGCGAAGTATGCTCACGAGGCAAGTACAATGCCGTTGACGATAAGATTTTTGAAAGGCGGTTGGTCAAAGAGGGCAGTGGAAAGAACAAAGAGTGTGTAGAACCATCCACGGGTCTGATCCACTCCCTCCGCCACGAAGTCCGCCGGAAAGCCCGTATTGAAGCGCTCTACGTTCTCGAAGGGGTAATGCATCTACCAAAGAGCAGACAGGGAAGCTTACTTAACAGCTCCCAAGGGGAAAGAATGCTCATCCTGTTGAAACACACCTGAGCGTAGGGCATCGAACCTGACTCAAACCAGCAGTCAAACACCTCCGAAATGCGATGTAACTCGCCCTTACCCATGCGTGACGGAATCGTAATTGGATCCACACTAAAAAATAGGGGAAGGAAAACAAAATCAATGAGGATAGAAAAGTGTATACAAGGAAGGGTAATGACCGTACAACTCCTTGTGAAGGTCGGTGAGTCGATGGCCGGATAACCGTTCCAACTCGTCAAGAGAGCCGACGCATACCACCTCCTCTAAGTCCTCCGACACCCACAAAGGTATAGGCGTGCCCCAATATCGATTGCGTGAGATGGCCCAATCTCGTGCGTCTCTCAGCCAGTTCGCAAAACGCTTTTCCTTTATGAACTCAGGCACCCAGTACGTCGCCGCACTGTTGGCCAATAAACGATCCACCAGACTCTCAACACGCACAAACCACGTCGGTACCGCCTTGTACAAAAGAGGAGTATCTGACCTATAAAACGAACCACCAATCACCCGATCACAGGGGTTCGAGAGAAGAAAGGTTGGGGAATAGTGACAAGGAAGATAGAGACTCACCTCCAACAAAATGGGTAACTGTGTTGAAGAGTGGATTGATGTACAAGCCGTCCAGCGTGCTTTAGGTGTTGACAGATTGACCGATCAGCGTCTTTCACGTATTGCCCAGCGAAATCCACCACCTCTGCTGTGAAACGACCACTTGCGTCCACTGGACACACTGGTGCCATCGCCTTCGTCACAATGCCTTCGCGTAGACATACTCTAAAGTCATCCTACACAAACCCACAAACCATCAATTAGTAGCCACCGAGAGGCACGAAGGTGGTTGAGCGAGTGCTCACCTCACCGAAATAGGGCGCCTGGTGTACAACTCCCGTTCCCGTTTCCTCGGTTACGTAGATGTCACCAACCACACGGAAGGCGCCACTCAGCTCTTTAAGCTGTCCACCAATGCAAATTAAATAGGCGAATCATTAAACAAATTATTAGTCATCTTGGAAAGTAAGCGAAAACCACATACCTACCTTGACAAAGTAGTCGAACAAGGGTTTGTACTTCAAACCAACCAGATCCTTGCCTTTCATTCTATGGAACAATGAAAAATGCAGATGGAAGTTGTCATCATGCAAAAAAGGAGAAAATTGGGGCAGATCAAACTCACTTCTCCAAAATTTCGTAGTTCTCTGCTTTTTTGTAGAACCATTCCAGGCGGCACTCCATCATAACAAATATCCTGTTCCTATCCTTATCTGCAGGATGAACGCATAGAGAGCATTAAAACTTGCGATATGAAACAAGAGAAGTTGAAAGTACCTACCCCTGATTTTGACGTAGTCCCTCTCCGGATTGACACACAACGCCATATTGCTGGGCAAAGTCCAAGGTGTGGTAGTCCAAGCAAGTAATTCAACGCAGGAATTGGGTGCATTGTCACTAAGACCTTCGACAGGGAATGATACAACTATGGCAGGATCCTGGACGTCTTTGTAATTCAAACCCGCCTCAAAGTTTGACAGTGGTGTAGAGCAGGCCGTAGAGAAGGGCATCACCTTCACACCACGATATATAAGACCCTTATCATAGAGCTGTTTGAAAACCCACCACACGGATTCCATGAAGGCGGGGTACATTGTACGATAGTCGTCGTCGAAGTCGATCCACCTACCAATGCGTTGAACGACAGTCCGCCATTGCGAAGAATAGCGCATTACAATCTCGCGACATTTAGCATTGTAAGCTGCCACGCCCATCAACTCGACATCCTGTGGACCATTAATGTTGTTCAACTTGTCCACTTCGTACTCCACAGGCAGACCATGACAGTCCCACCCAAAATGACGCTCCACGTGGTAGCCCTCGCTGTATGCAAAACGCGTAACCACGTCCTTTATTGTACCTGCCAAAATATGTCCGTAGTGTGGCAATCCAGTGGCAAATGGTGGTCCATCATAAAACGTGAACCTAAACCAAGTACGTTACCAATCACATAAAAAAAAATAGTAACCAACGGTGGACGCTTGGCAGAGAGTTTGCATGAGGTTTTAAAGGCCCCAATTTCATTATGGAACTTAAGGATCTTCTCCTCCTCCTCGGAGAAATTTAGCGACGGCGGAAGATTGTCACGACTCATGCCTCGAAGTTAAACGCAGTGCTGTCACGGGCCCACCAATTTGTTAAGCCATTCCACGATAAGCATTTCGTTTGTAGCATGTCTTATGGAAATCGTCGAAGTTCTTGCTTTCCTGCTAAACGCATTAAGGGGGGTTACGTGTAAACATTTTTCAAGTTTAAAAATCGTAATGCACACAAGTGTGGTTATTTATTTGTTTGATCAAAGATATAGGTTGCGGTCAATTAAGTTATCGTATTGTTTTTGACGACTTTGTCCGATCTCCAGGCCATGCCGGATTTCCTGACCTGCCCCTTTATGCCAAGTATGTGCTATCCGATTCAATATTGTACATTATCCTGCCTTAAAATGTTTCGTGAGACTGCCTACTACCGTGTTTATCCCACCAATTACGTGGGTGGAGATCAGTTTGACAGCTCTTTCGCTTCTGCGGCCTAACCTTCCACTTCTTTTCCTCTTTTTAAAAAGAATAATATGTGTAAGAAGCCAAGTTGTGCACCTTCTGATGCACACTTGAAACTCCCGAGCAGCTAAAACCGTAACGTGCTGGAGTTTTATATTTGGTAATTGAAGGAATAAGGTACAGCCGAACGATTATAATCAGAGTGGAACGATAGAAGTGAGGCTAAGGCTTGGCCCGAAGGTCCACCCAAATGGCAGAAGCAAGGTGGCTGTTGGTTTCTTTGGTGTTTACCTTGCGCTCGTGTGTGCTATCTAACATTGGAGCCAAGCTAAAGCCAATTTCTCCCATTTCTCCTCTACCATGTGTCCACCCTCTTATGTCGGAGGTCTTGGGTCTCTACACTTACCTTTTGTGTAGACAGCCAAATAAACAAAGTATTACATCGCTCCACCCTTCTTGAGCACCTCCTTCACCACCCATCACAGTCTTCTTGGCGATGCAGGGAAAACGCATGCACGCCAGGCATAGTAGTCATCAGCTCCTACGGGATTAGAACTCCTACTAAACTAAGACTCGTGTTTGGTCTAAAAGAAGGAATTCGAGGCGGAGACTTCTGCTGAACTTCCCTATGTTCAGTAGTAGGTGTTGGAACACTGATCGAAAACAGGTGCGAAATAAGTAAACGGCAGGGAAGAGTTTAACACAATACCATCGCCGACATCTGACTGCAGATGCGATAAGGAAACCCTAAAATAAAACTTTTCTAATTACTTATTTGCGACGTCACTTCAGTTTTAACGCCTTTTAAATGATCTACGGGAATAGGAAATATATCAAAAGCAAATGTAGTTCTCAACCAATGGTTGGGAAATAATTTTGAGATTTATCAAACCTGATTAAGGGCTTGCTTAGACATTTAGCCGGTGACTTGGCCTTTGGGCGATAGCAGCAGTCAAAACAAATCTAATTTCACTCTCTTTTTCGACTGAGACCCATTTTATGGATCATCATATCTTGGTTACATAGGCCAACCTAGGGACTAGTTTGGTAGTTCCTATTCTCTACCTGTATAAAAACGCATATACAGCCTGATTATAGTCCTTTTATCTTGTAACGCTTTGTTTATGTGACCACCTGACATTCGATGGACTTTTAGATTTGTCTGGCTCTTGTGCGTGTAAACTGGCCTTCGGGCCATGCTCCGGCGGCTTCACTTACTACCTTCTTCCACTCTGTAGGAACTCTGGAGACGATGAATTCTTTTTCAGGGGGTTGGCCTAAAAGTTCTTATTATGGATAAAATTCATGTAGATAAAAAGCTGTTTTTTTCAAAGTATTTTGATACTTTACTATTTTAGCGCCCCGAGGCTTCCCATACGGTGGTAGAAAACATAAATGAGGGTGAATACATGTATTTGGAAGAAGACAGGGCAAATGGGGCCTAAGCGTGGCCCGAAGGCCAGCCCAGGTGTACAGAGGCCAGACAAATCCTAAAGTGACCACCAAACGTCAGATAGTCACATAAATAAAGCATTGCAACTATTCAGTCGGAAGCTGAAGGTCGAACCTCTCCAAGACAAGCTATCCAACTTAATCTCCTCCAGGTCAAGCATTATATCTTTTATCTTGTAAAATTTTACAGTAAACTACACTTTTGGTGACAGAAACCGTACCCTTTCCACAAGGGGACTTATACCATGACTCTTCACAATTTCAACCATTTTTGCTGGTGTAATTGGAACAAACTGCACACATCTTCGCAACAGAAAGGTGGGGAGAGCCGTCTACATTCAACAAAGTGTATATGCCAGCAGGTGGAGTCAATTTGAGCGTCATGCTAACGAAGACGACTGACTTGGTTGTAATAATTGCCTGTCTACCCTCTGGTCCCTGGTTCTCAGACTTTAAGGGGAAGTTGGTTGTAGACGATTTATTAGGCATCTCTATAAGAAGGATAGGGAATAAGATACAGATGTGATGAACAGGAGGTGTCAATCGCAGGGAGACTCCTCGTCGACCTCGCGCACGTGATCCACGCTTCCAATTGGTTTCCGCCTCTCACCTATAAAGGTCCACTTAAACAACTAGAATATATTACATTGATCTCCTGGCAAAGACGCACATACTCTCCATTCTCTTTTGCTTTGTCTCTAATACTTTGTACTATCATTCAAAATTAATCATCACAAAAGAGGCAGACCGTTGAGAAGTCCATTAAACCATAATCATTGTAATAGCTCCTTCGTTTTGAAACACCTATTGGATGCGATGATTTTCCTTCTACTATGATTTGCTGACTTAAGTGGATCTTTCACATCTGAATTTAATGATCTACTGGAAATAGCGCAACTTTAGTATTGTGCTAATTCCTGACGGTTCTTATGGTTTTGCTGATTCAGATGCTTTTTTATGAGCTGCACGTTTTGTTGGCTAAGCTTTTATAAGAGCATTTTACTTGGATAGTTACACCTCTATTAAATGTTTATATATTTGCTCTATTTTTGCCTTACACACGACTAAGTCGTTCGCGCGCGTTTCGTAGTGCAGTGGGTGGTGTGTTGTAACATTTTCCCGCTGGATAGTCGTAAGCTCGTTTCAAATTTCCATCCTAGGTAAAAGTAACGCCTCAGCACACATACACCCCGCTTAACTCGATCAGTTCATGCGCATATTTGCTCTCTTTATAGACACCAATGAACAATTTCCCTATCGACACACTTTCTGACGTTTCTGAGAGCGACAGCTGCAGTGAAACACCTCATGTTGATTCAAGCCCGACTTTACAAGTTACATCTGCTCTTCCGGAAGTCCAGCCTTTGCAGCCGCAGTCCAAACGAAGTTTGAAAAGACGGCGTAAAAAGTGGGTCCCCTTTCCTAAATCACAGTTCAGATTCAAGGGTCATGAAGAGATCATGCGTGATCCAGAGATCCTGCGTTGGTGGAAACGTAGATTTGATCTATTTGAGCGGTTTGACGAGGGCATTCAGATGGACAGAGGTAGACTTTATCTCCACGCGCTGTTGATGGAATTCATTTTTAGAGTCGTGGTATAGTGTGACCCCAGAAGAAATTGCTCGAAATCAGGCCGATACCTGTGCGTGTGATTTAATAGTTGATGCTTATGCAGGAGCTGGCGGGAATTCCATTCAGTTCGCGCGGACTTGTGGATTCGGTAAGTCCTTTATAGTTCTTCACTTATTTTCGACAATTTGGTGGAGCAAATGCTGTCTATTTACCTAGTCCACTTTTAAAGTCAACTCGTCGCCTAATTGTTTCCTAGTAGTTTGCATTATTACGTTCTGGGTCACTTCAACTTCTGAGTGGATTTGATCAATGCACTGTGTCACGAACCCGTAAATCGTTTTCGTCGGCAAATCTATCGTCTATTGCTAATTCTGACCTTAATTGGTAGTCCTTGTTTTATAGCGGATCTGTCTTCCCATTTTATTAAACAGGTTGTAGTGGTCGACTATCAGGTAAACTTGACTAATGTTTTAGAAAAATTGAGGTTGTACCCACGACTCTTGACTTTGCCGCCTAAAACATGTTCAAACTTTATGGATTTTTTAGAAGTCATTACCGCGTTAGAAGTCCAGACCTCAAACGGCAATTCTCTTATTTTCTCTTATTTTCCTGTTTTACTGCCGGAGATTTGGGATGCGTTGGGCAGATGGATAAGACTTTACTAGGTACCTAAATGGATGAACCATCATTTGAGTGATTAGAGCTTAAGTATAAGAAAAACGCTCTAGTTGAATTAAGGCCCACTTTTAGGAGTTTAATAGACTAATCAATCACCAAAGATCGGTTATATTCTTCTGGCCCTCATCTCTATCTCTTCTTCTTTTATCCTTACCCCCAGTCATCGGTATCGACAATTGCCTGGATCGTTTAATTGGTGTGTTCACACCAAACACTCGCGTCTATGGAGTCTCGTCCTGCATCGACTGCATCTGTGGCGATGTCACACGCATCCTCCGCGCCTTGCGTGCTGACACCTGTGTCGACACTATCTTTATGTCACCCCCATGGGGCGGACCCTCTTATCCCCACCATCGTCCTCTCCCTCCCGGTTCGGCCAGTTGGAATAAGCGTCGACGACGTCAGCGCATAATTGCCGAGATGAGAGCAGCCAAAGGTGATGATATCTATGACCTTACAGCTAATATTCCCAGCCTCATGGAAGCGATTGTGGCGGCCAGGAGCCTCTTCCCGACACGCCCAAGGATCGCAGTGTACCTCCCTCGCAATTGTGCATTGGGACAGGTGCTTAAACTCGGATGGGGTGGAGAGAATCTGGAGAGTGCAGAGGGACGGGAGGAAGTGGTGATAGAAGAGTACTGGTTGAGAGGAAGACGACTTGCCATCTGTGCTTACATTGGAGGATTCGCAATCGAGGATTCGCTGACGCGCTGTGAATAAAGGTCTTACATTCCCGTCTTCTTATCTAGGGCATGGGCAAGACGTCCTGACTCGGCGTCCTTAGTGTGTCAACCCATTTTAGATTCAGGTCTGTTCGTACTGTACAACTCGATCGCTTCAAATACCTTGATCTCATAACCATTGTTCGTTTGTTTCCGGTTCACCGCGCACTTATTCCTAGAACTCCTTGCATCTGGTCCACTTGTCCATCTGGGAAGTAGTAATTCCAGGAGCTGTGGCCTTGATCTTAAATTTATTGCTATTCAACTACCTCGTTTGTCTACTCACTTCTCACTACCCTTAAGGCTTCAGGCACTCAAAGAGGTTGGTGGAGAGTTTTGCTGTGGTCGTTTCCAGATCGCGCTAACCATCACGTTCAGTGTTTAAAGAATCCTTCTGTAAAGGTGGACAAAACAGTCATTCGTTTCATCGTAAGATGGAAGTGAATGGGGTTGTTCTATAAAGACCCAGTTGCTTCTATGCCAAACCAGAAAGAGGATCAGAACTCCTATTCCAATGCAGCTTCCATAACTGCGCAGCTGTCGACGACATAAGCACATCAAAAGAACTCGTTGACTGTGTACACTTTAAGTACTATTTAAACAGGCATTTAAAAACGCTTTTTTTTGCAAAGGTGGGATGCGTGGATAAGACAAATCAATCTACCAATTGCAAGGCTGGAGGAGTTGGTGGGGATGGGGGAGGGCCAGTTAGGAACGGTTCGCCATAAGGAAAGCACATCGGTAGAATATTGTCGCGTGACCTGCCTGCCTTCTTCCCTCCCCCTACACGCACTCGTCCATCTCAAAGAGCGTTCCATCGTCAACTGCGTGCGACTGTTGTTGGTTGGTTGGCGACGTCTCTTCAATGGGGCGTTGGGCGCCTCGGCCTGATTGGTGCATTTGAGACCGTTGAGCATGGCTGTTAGTGGTGGCCGCATACGGGCCCTCCAGAGGAGATATTTCACCCTCTGAATACCGTCTAAATTCAACAAGATAGTCGATTAAATTTTACCCTCTTATAGTCGACATTTCTAGTTTCTCACAGCTATACTAGAGAAGAGTCAGTAGAACAGTTGAGCACATACTACTGATGGGTCGCTTAATTAACTCACTTCGACCGATGGAAGATTCGTGTTAAGCCATGCTGATGAGTTCCAAACGGTGAGACAGGCTGCATCCCCGACACCGAGTTTGTCATAAGTTGGTCAACTAAAACCACCGAAAAATATCAATCTAGCGCCTTCAGTGGACCAAAATCGCCGTTATAATTTAGAATTCCGAACTCGGTAGTGAAAGTCGCTTATTCCGACCAATGGACGATGTATTTTTGGCCCCGGTGACCTTGGTTGATGCTCCCTTTTGAACAAACACATCGTCGGAAGTTTCAATAGAGGCGGCAGAGGAAGGAGGTGTTGGTGCGTCAAGAACAATTGTGTGGAGAAGGTCACTCGAAGTTATGACTCCAATAGCTGGTCCTAGGGCGGCCTGTCCATTCCAACTAGCACCTGAACTTGGCTTCTCGAACACCGCTAGACATGGAGCCTATGATGCGAAATTTCTGCTGTTTAATTTTTGTGAGGTGGCGATGTTATGTAATTTAAAAAGGTTAAACACACCTTTTGGCGGAACATTCGATCAAGGACAGCAACAAGACACTCGGAGGTGTAGCACATCGCCTGGTTTGTGTATCCGGTGTGCTAAAATGGGTCAAAACCGAAGGTGAGGATCCTCCCGAATAGGCCCTCCAAGTGGAATCGACAATGCTTAACTCACTCTAGGACGAACCGCCATTATTGTACCAACCGTGGCGTTCAATGCGACTTCCAGGGGTCCAGCGAAGATAGCTCCCTGAGAAAAGGAAACATGGTACCTTTTACGTCCTCACCATTGCTTGAAAACACACGCAAGTAAGGCTTATCAAGGCTTCAAGCAATACAAAAGGTTGTAAGACGCCATCACAGGACACCTAAGAGTTGGACTGTTTCATGTCTTCCCTCCCCCAAAGTTAAGCTCCATTTAATCCGAAATTGATTTGCTACTCTGACACACACTGAACACTAAACCCACCTCAATATGGCCTAGATATTACATGAAGGAGAATTTCGTGCTTAAATAGGCTCACAAGGATGTCGTGCTTGGTGAACATGCCCTGGAATCCCTTCCCATTCTCCCCAGCCACGGGAAGACAAGCCATACCGGCCCTACTCCACGCAGCATTAAGGATGTGCAGTGCCTCACGACACGTTGTGGTGGGATGAAGATAGAAGATGTTTCCACTGACGTTGCCAGGATAAACAACTCTACGTCTGTGCAGGCGACCGTCATCATTGGGAGTGGCAGCAGCGGTAGTGTCTTCATCATCGAAATCAGCAGAATCAGCCAGTTGCCACCCTCTCTCCTCCCATCGAATGCCTGGCAAGTCTCCTACGTTCACCTAGATTGACAAAGCCAACTGTTTACTGTGAAACAACTACCGATTAGCAGTATAGATCAAATTCACTCTGCTACTTAACACCCCTCATAAGTAGTACCAGTGCTTACACTAAGAGTGCTAGGAGTAGGCAGATTTCTCATTCTCACACGCAAATACGCCAAAAGCCGGTCTGTATTCAGTAGTCCCAACAAGTTTCCACTCCCATACCGATCCGCAATCATAACATAACGGGGAGGTGGTGACACATTTGAGGGAGACGCGGACCCCTTGACAGGCACAACCGTCGCCAAGGTGAGGACCCGTGTGACACCGTAAAGATGGTCCTGTGGCGTTACAATGGTGACCGCTTCTGGCATGGCTTCCTGAGGGCACTCGGAATGAGCCCAGTTAAAGAATGTATCTACAGCGAGTGAGATGGGTAAGAAGGAATGCCTATTCGGCTTGAATAAAAGAGAAGGCTTTGTTTCATAACCGTACTTAGTACACTGCCTATGGTTTTCTCTTCCCAATAGCCCATAATGACTGCAGGATCTGAGGCTTTCTTTGTCACCGGGTCATCTTCGGCGCCATCGGTCTGGGTGGTGGGGGCAGTGAGGGGAAAGGCTTGGGCAAGGAGGCGAAGGCAGAGGCCAGTTGTGAGTAACTGAGTGTAGCATTGAAGACGACTGCACCAGATTGGTGCTGCAGCCAAAGAGTGGTCGATCAAAGCCTGCATAGCCCGCCGAATCTTTAAGATTAACAGACAATAAGGTAGACAATGTGGGTGTCAAGCAACTGTTTGACTCATACCCAAACCGATTTAGCAATCCGCTATCAAGGGGCCAGTTGCTCGGAAGCACTGCCAAACCTTTAGACACTGAAATGCAAGCTTCAAACTCAAGCAAAACGTAAGGACAGACAGTCATCCTTTTTACAATAAATGAAGTAGTTTCTGCTTGTTAGAGTGGCAACAAAACACTTGTTCAGGTGCATTAACTGCTCTTGATTGAGGCGAACTTTTTGCTTACGGGAAGAGCAGAGTCCAAGACGAGGAGCTTTCCACTCTCTGGCAATACATCGTAGCAGGTGGAATGTTTAAAGAACACGGAGCAGGCGGAGTCCTCGTCTATTATACAATCACCGAGAGGATTAGAACAGATTAGTAAAACAAAATATAATGAGGTTTGAATGACCTACCAAAGTAGCGAAGATCCTTAGGTTTACCTGCCTCTTCATCCACCTAAGAGGAAAATTAAAACAGATACTAAGGCCGTACTACTTAAAAACTTATCAGTAGGATTATTGAAAATCCTGCTACCCATGTTGCTTAAATGGCTGCTCAGCGAATCCCCTAAGACTTCCGACCTCCCCGGTTCGTTTACAACTTTTTCGCTCCTTCTTCAAGGATTCTGTTCCTTTGTCGCAAAAACCTGTTCTCCTAAATCCCCACCTCCTCCGTCATTCAAGGATTTATATAGAAGAATGGTTGGAAAATGAAGTAGGTCTAAACGATAAATTTGCTGACTGGGTTGCTCGGAAACAGCATAATGAATCGATGGCTAGCTTGATGATAAGAACGCAGGGTGGGCATAATTTGACAAGTTGTTTATCTAAATCGCACACACATGTACGCAGAGAGGAGGGAAAGGATGTGCATATCTTTCATCCTCCTTTACAACTTACGTACACACACATCGACTCGACCGACTACGTACCCATTTACATCCCCCCTTGTGTGTGTGTATGCGTTGATTTGGTCATATACTAGAATCCACACCCTAAACTGCAGTGAACGAATAATGTTTACCTTTGAGATAGTGAACAAGATTCCAATAAACTGAATGTCTACTCCAGGTACGCAATACCCCATGAGAACCAAAAGACGGTTTCAATGCTTCTAGTGCAAGGATGACCAGAGTGGCGCAGAATTGTGTGGAATTGGGACGTAGTCATCGGGATCTACTAAAGTAAGTGGAAAGGGAGGTCTACGCAATACGCCATACGCATCGCCACAATGACAGATTTATGACTACTCACTGCAAGCGATTGTTTCCAACACCTTGGAAATGTTTAATTGAACTTTAAATGGACACTCTAACTCACATCAGTTTGTGACAACTGTGACTTTAGATGCGATCACCTAACCACCATATGGAGATATAATTGCACCGTCAAAGACAAAATCCCTAAAGATCAAGAAGAACCTATTCGATGATGATAGAACAGGTTGAAGAAGGGATGCCAAGAAAATGACCACAAGGAAGGGAAGACAAAGCAGACTCAAATGCCTAGGTAGAACGTAAATGGATGAATGAAAGGGAGCTGACCAAATTTATTGCGCCAAGCTAGATTAACAAGAGAGGAACAGTTAAAGTTAGGGATGAAGGAGATTGCTAGACCAATTTAGCATGCGTAGGTGGAAGAATGAATAATGAACCACAGGTTGAGGATTGAATGATGGGTGGATAGGGAAAAGTGGATCATTTTCACTTTTTCGCCATCTGAGTAACTCACCTCATCCACTGATTTCTGAACAAATAGCAGCGTCGAACTCTGTGCCGCCTTCAACACCTGAATTGTGCTCTTGGTGTCGTTTGAGGAACACCACTGATTTTGTCGGGCTGAAAAATAGCGAGGAACGCTACTTAAATACATTTCAGTCACCTTTTTAGGTAATTATTCTTTAATTCTCTTCAGTCCTAGCACATACCGAGGTGTGGTATATCAATGCATTTGTGGATATACTACCTGTACCGCAGCATTTAGTGGATGGCAATTTAGCTCACCGGAAAGGATGTCCACAGCAGACATGAGTTCACTCATAAGACCGAAACAGTTCATTGGCTCGTGATCGGGACAGCTGCGGGCAAAGTCTGGAGCTAAAAAGGAAATTGATAATCGAAATCCCCAATCAAGGCTCGTCCCGTTGTCCAATCAGGCTTGAGAGCAGCATCCAATAGGAATTGCGGCCGACTAATTAAGTGCCCAATTATGTTCCAAAAAAATAATAAAGCTCTGAAAAGTTCTAAAACTTCACAAAATCACTCACTCACCATCTATTGTTTACCTTGTCGACTGAAACAATGGTTAAACTAACTGAAGTCCTGAAATTATGTGTCACAATGATTGCGCCTGAATTTAGTGTCGTTGTTTCCCAGTAGGTAAAAGTTTGTTTTAGCAAAACAGATGCGCGCCGGTGATGGCCTTAAGTGGGCAGAATTTTACATGGATCTTCCGTAAAAAATGTACCGCGCCCACTTCAAAGGAGCGACAGATTTTTTGGTAAAAGCACAATGCACAAGTACCAATTTTGTGGGAAAGTGTGGAAGATTTTTGCAAAAATAATTACGCTTGCCTCAATTAGAGGACATCAGTTTGCAAGGTGGAATGGAAATAAATCTTCTGATTCAATGCAATCGTCAGTGGTCCACGCCACTACTTATATTGTGGTAAGCAGACGGATAATAATAGAAATCAATTCCAAATAACCTAAAGCGACGGCGAGTCGGAAACATTTCTTTACAAAAAAAATGACTGTTTCCAAACCTGCTAGAGGCCTCAATGTCTCAGGTAGGAAAAGAAGAGAGGAAAAAATCAAAATTCCCCACAAATCTGAAAATGATGTCAGTTTTCAAACTCAAATCAGTCCCGTGAGCACCAGAGAAAGGGAGTAGTTGAGCGCGCAATGCCTCCAAAGGCACCACAACGCCATCACCTGCTTAAAGCCTTTCTTCGCCGTCCTTCCGCACATCAAAATTCAACCGAAGAGCTAACGACTACAGATGAGGTAAAAACTGAAGGCACCGTAAGATACTGCGATGCACTCAATCAGTGAAAGCGTCCAAGACGTTCGATACCGAGAGGACTTGCTTTACCGACAGCAAGTGTGATCGACACCTCGAAAGGCAGTTGCAAAGAGGCTAGTGAGCGAACACTTAAGGTGAGAATGCAAAGTCCATCACATTGCGGAATCATGAATCGGTGAGATAAAAAAGTATTTTTATCCTTGCTGTCTGATCTTCAGCTCCTCGATGCACAAACGGTAGAATGCGTTTTACTTCATTTTGACAATTCAATGGCTTCTTTGAAGGAACCGCCAATCGAAAGTTGTTGGCATGAATGCAAGACAAAAACCCGGTCAACTGACTGCAACAGTTTGGAAGAAATTGAAGGCAAGACAGAAGTCTCTAAAACTACAACTTAGCTTCAAACCCACTTCGAGAACGCGTCAAAGGCATGTGCGCCTCGACGTGTTCACTGTAGGCGGCAATCCAAGGCTTCAACACTCCTTCCTTCAGTGCCAATTTGAATTCAATTTATAAAGCCTGTGACGAGGACGGAAGAGACTGGTACGACAATTAGATAGGGGAGTTGGAGGTGAAGAAAGCCCCATCACAATTACACCTCAAAAGTTGCATCCACCGAGGCATTGAATTCCTTGAATAAAAAAGGGCTTCTAATGCATATCAAACTAGCATTTAATGATCTCCACTCCCCGCTGAGAGGCAATAAATGTCAATCAAACAGATAATCTGATGCTGAGAAAAGGAACAGCCGATTCTCAAGTACTGCGTTGGCACCAGGATATACTGAAACTACCATCTGATTGTGGAAGGTACCCAGCTTGACAAGGCTGAACCGTGAGATAAAAAGCGATTATGCTTTTTTGTGGTAAAGAGGTCACAATAGTGTCATCGCCAAGCCAACAGTAACTGGTCAGAGCAAGTCGAAATGGAATCAAAGCTAAGCTGACCCCCAACTTTTCCAGCTAAGCAGTAGAAAAAAAAAAAGTGAGACAAGAAGGCATGAGAGTAGATTTCACTACCTTTGAAGTAAGGAGGAAGAGAAGTGACGCAACACAAAGCTCATAAATCACAAGAAAGGAGGAAGGCAGGGCTTACCGAGGTTGAGAGATTTAAAGCGGACGACTTTTGGCATTGTCTTCGTTGGGGAGTTTTTTTTAGATTGTACCGCAACGCGAACACACTCACACCACGTGCACACGTGTGTACCTATGTTACTTGTAACTTGTAGGTGTGTATGTGTGCGACAAGCGCATCAATGGAAATGAGCCAATCAGGGCCCAAGTGTACTTTGCAAGCACACTTGGGCCCTGATTGGTTAGGCCCTTGACACGTGGTCAGACAGCTGTGTGAAGGAAATGCGAAACAAGGAAGGAAGTTGGAGGAAGAAAAGAAAATTAACAAAAAAAAAAAAGGACGCGTAGCTTATCGTTTCTTCCAGGTGGGAAGTGAAGGTTTTGAGGAGGTATCACAATAGCCAGAAGCATACGTCAAGGTGCATGCACAAAGCTCTGAGCGCTTTTCAAATGGAAAATCTCCCGACGTCTTGCTCGTTACAGGCAGAGAATAGGGATAAAATTTTAAAATTTTGGAAATCTTCAATACAATTCCAAACTAGGTAAAAACGAGGTGACAAAAAGAACTGACAACGTCTGAGACCAAAACAAAGCCAAAATTCGGACACAAGTCAAAGGTTGCTAGTCGGCACCAAGTCTTCACGATAAACTAGAACGTCGAGTAAGAATGGCACAGAAGATCGTCCAATTAATGCGGGCTCCATGTCCTCAAAGGTGAAAAGATGATCGGCTAATTCAAAAAAAGTCCATATATCAACAGAGGACAGTGAATGGGGCATTACAGACCACAAGACGATAAAGGCTTGTGCTATGGCTTCGACGAGCAGCACAATTCGCTGGCGTCATCTCCTCTCGCCATTCGCTGGTCAACGTAGAATGGAAGCTATCACAAGGCATCACAAACACACTTCACGCACTCAACTGCAACAAACATCCAGTCGCAAAGACCTTCAAATGTTCCCTAAAAGCCCCTTCACATTCGCATGCGAAGTCACACTGACAATCCAACACCAATCACGCCTACTGACAAACCAGCCAAGGTGTGTCTCACAACAACTACATCTTGACACGTTGACACTCGTCTCATCACGACGACCACCCAAATTGTCAACCTAAAAGTTCTCACACGTCTCATGTGACAACCTCGTACTTCACTCCACTGCTACTAGTGCCACTCCTCCTCCTCCTCCTCCTCCCCACTCTCTCTCTCCTGGTGCTGCTGCTCTCCACCCAGACTCGCACACTATTCGCCTTTCAAAGACACACATCGAAAAACTGACCAATCATACAGCTGCCACAGGTGCTACTGCTGCTGCTGCTGCTGCTGCTGGCCTGCTGCACTCTCTTTCCACTCCACTGGGAGTCCGTTAAAAGTGCACTTTTATGAACCTGCATGCCTTTTATCTCCTTCCATTACCCAAATGCCACCCGCAGGAAGGCGCCTCCACATTCCTCCACGCCATCACATAGGACGATGATGTGCCAACTATGTGTGGTCGGTTGGTTGTGGGGATGATTCTCAACAACAAATGCTAGTCTGGGCTAGTGATAAAGCCCATCACACCACACCACAATTCACTTCTTCTACTGTCGAGGCAGTCACGAGTGCTTTCCTGCACTAACTGCTTGCGTAAGACTGCCCACCACGCCTTGCACTGCATCGCATCGCATCGCATCACATTGCATTGCATTGCATCGCTAGAAGTGGAAAACTTCCATCACCACCAAAGGCATTAAGTCATGGTGTTCTCCTCCAAGGCATGTTGAGAGTGCAGTGACCTCGAGACTGCGGTGAGGAGTGATTGGAGGAAAGCAGTGTCGGGCCTTCTCATTGGTGCACAAGCTGTGGCCAATGAGAGCATGGCATTCACAGCAGAGTACCATTCTGATTGGGTTTCAAGTGAATCGTTTACATTTTACCTACAATCCTCGTAAAAGTACTTTTTCGGATTATTTATCTGTCTTTGACATTGGCAGTAGAATGCAGTTCGAACCACATACGTTCACAGTAAACGAAATATTCAGTGCAACTAATTGCCCCATGTTTGCATTAATGTTGGTCATAAAACAGCCAACGAGAGCATTGGAAAAGGCAATGGAAAGGGGATTACCGACTTTTCAACAAAAATGCTTTTCGAGCGGTCTTCTCGCAGATCACAAAATTCTGAATTTTTAAATTTAAGAAGGCTGTGACATTGAAGTGTTGAGTAGATCACTGGGGGTGGTGACGCGTTGCGGAAATGAAAGCCTCCAATTCACGAGGTAGAATAAACGGTAGAGACATTTCAAGTGACGAGAAATCCTTAAAATGTCACAACAGAAGAGAATCACTTCTCTCTCCTGTGAACCCGCCTGATGGTGCGATTGCTTTAATAATGTTCGTTGCGAAGACGTCGATGCTTTCCTGCTTGCGCAAATTTGGGGTTTTGAACATACCTTGTGATGCTTTGATGGGGTGTCGGGATAATCAAATTATTTAGACTTGTCTAAAAACATTACCATTCAAACAGTGGCGACATGATGGATCCGATAAGAACGGATTTGCTGAATACCTCAAGAAACTTTTCAACAAGTACGACATACTTTTCAAGTTGGTTTAATAGCCTCTTCTTCCGAGCACACATGAACAGCTCAGGAGTCCATGGATTCGACAGGAGTTTTGATGCCCCTAAGATACTCGAAGGGAGCCCTGGAAGGCTTTCAGCGTTACCCAGTATTTCAGCACATTTAAATGTCGAATTGTTTGCTCCATTTGCTTCAGACATCCGAAAAACTAATTTTAAAGTGCTTTAAGTCTAAATCGCCTTCCAGATAACAATCAGACGATGGAATGATTTAGGACATCAGTCGCAGCAACACCAAGGGAATGAACACATTCTTGCAATTTAAGAGGAAACGACAACCACTTGAAAAATGTTTTAGATGACTACTAATCGATCTTTGTGTCGGCAAATGAACTGTAGAAGGCACTGGGTTCAGTTAAACACCTCATGTCTTAAGATGCGATCTACACTCGGGTCAGGACCAATAAGTAGATTTTACTGTGCACGACTTAGTTCCGATAACCCGAAACAAAGGCTCACCAAGTTCGAAAAGAATTCATATTTGCTGCTATGAATTTGTCAAATAAATCGCTTCAAAAATCAACAACGTGCTCTCCATGCAAATTTAAAGCAACTTAGTACCCTCACATCTGCTCACCCTAAAAGTTACCTCACAGAGAACAAAAAAGTACAAAACCTCCAGAACCGAGTCAGAAACAATTCTCCATCTGGCTTCAAAGTCGGCTATATTCAACATTATTGAGATGGTATAATGAAACGGTAGCGGTATAATGAACGTCGGACGCTAGCAATCGCAAACTAAAATCCTCCTGTTTGCCACGTTAGTTTCCTCTACTTAATTACAATTAAGTAGGCATAACCTAACCATCCCCGCAAGGACCGGAAGTGCCTTGCCTATGAGTTATGTAAAGATCAGCGCTCAACTGCAACTCTTCACTAACTTTCAGCAATTCAGTTGCCTCTGATCATCGAGATCTATTGAAATTCATCAGCTCCTTAAACATTTGCAGCTGAAGGGGACTACATCAGGCTAAAGGTCTTAGAATATTGGTTGCCAATGCTTCAAAATAACTGCCCCTTCCTGCCAGAATTAAAGTATTTCTCGACTTAAAAACAGCAATTGAGACCTCACATCGTAGCCTCCAGAGAAGGTCAATCTAAATCTTAATGAATGAAACACTCTAGAAGGAAAAGTCGTCCACTTTCGATCATTCATGGAGACAATAAGAAAGAAATGACCACAAGAGTTACACCCTCAAGACTCAGCTCAAGTCCACGAATAGTATCTGATAAGCTTGGTATAAACAGCCCAAAAATGCGGTGTGACGTCCCTTCGGAGTAGCGGAAGGTGAAGGAAAAGATGTATGTTTTCCTTACAGATTTCGACCTGAACTAATGAAGTAACCACCGCCTGTTGAAATTAGCATTGACGAGGTCGGAACAACTTCGGTGAACAAAAGATGTGCGTAGATCAAATCAACATGCAACACTTTGCCCGTGGTGAACCAAGATGAATCAACCCAAAGAAGGCTGAAAAGATGCATTCATCAAAGAAAGCGAAATCCACCAAATCTGATGGCTATTCTAAAAGGCGATGTTGGAAAATTAATCTATCAAGGCCAGGTTGACAGGATCAATGGAGGCGTCACCAGAAAGTGAATTGTGGTTATATTTCGTCTCCACTATCCAATTAGACAGACACTTTCAAACACAGTGATTCAACGGAGGTATTTCAACAACTCAATGGTTAGTAGTAAATAAGGAATGGTAAATTGCAATAAGTGTGCTACGCAGTAATACACTTTCATCAAAGAACATTTAACGAAGTGTAAAAATCCCTATATGCCAACTCGATAGCTGATTGGATTGACATGGTCTAGTCATCTGATTGGTGCAACAGCATTAATGATTTTGATAATAAGAACCATTTGTTGTAATGAACCACATTTTTGACATTACAAAATCCCGTTTGTCGATAAGGTAGGGGCAATTGGAGGGAAAAAGAAAAGAGACAACTCACCCAAATCATTCGGCGAGAGAGAAGAGGCGATATCGCTACTGCGAGGATAATGACCGCTAAGCTATGGAAGAAGAAAAAAGGAACACTTCAGTAGCCTTGCCTTTAAGCTACTACAGTCGTCATTCAAGGGGGAAAAAAAACGGAAACAAAGTAGAATGGAATAAATCTGCCATGACATTGTCAGTCCTTATTAGGCAGGAAGAGGGAGAGATGCCACTTTTAAGTGGTCTAGTATGCGTTTCAAACATCTGACGTCCGTACAGAGCAAATGAGGCAGACTATAGATTGGAAAACGCTAATTAAAAGAGGACGCACGACAGGGCAGAGATAGGTGAAAGTCAAGGCTTGTCACTACGTTGAGCCAATGGGAAGCAGCGATGATAGGCGTTGTTGAATGTTCAAGGGAAAAAACAATTAAACCCGGAAGTGTATCAGTGATTTAGCCAGCCTGATATATCCTTTCACCTTGACGACACAATTAACGCCTACATAAGATAGAAATGTAATTAACGCTTCAACACAGCCGGGTCATCTGTTACTCGTCGCACAGTAGGGCAGAGGGGATGAGGACGGGAAGTGGACGTCGCATGTTCATTTATTGCAAACACTGACGTGTCCACCAAATGGGATGACCTCAACCTCAAATCTCTAAGGCTATTGTCCCCAAGGTTAAGCCTCCCCTGTCCACATCTAGCCGACAGTTAACACGACGCCAAATACTTACTTAATCCATTCCTTTGTGAAAGAAATCTACCACCTTGTCACAGGATAAAAGGGTTGGAATCATTCTCTGACATCGAGTGATTGATCACCAAGATAAAAAACAGAGAAAACCACATCTCCGGGTTCATCCTGCAAATTAGATCACTCAATCCACCCAAAGCGACGCCTCCCCATCCCTAATTCAGGTCATCGTCCAAATCCACCTAAGTCGTCCAACTCTCCTCATACCATGCGCCCATGCAACGTTTTCCTTTCCCATTTGGTCAGCGCAATGGCACACCCTTCAGTCCAGCTACTATTAACAAGTCGTTTGGCGCAGAAGACCTCCTCTCTCACGAGAAGCGACTTCACGCACTGCCACACAAATACTAGTGAATGACCTGACTGATAAATTGCCCTTCCTGTGGCCCATTTCATGCCATATAGACACAACACGAGAAGGTTTCTCACTCCACTGCCAGTGGAAAGGGTGGCAACAATTGGGAGTTACTTTGGCGGCTCAGTAGCGATGGGCGAAATCGGCAACCGTGAGCCTATCTACAACCAACAGGGCTGAGTATCGTAGTGATGACAGAGTAGATAAAGGACTTAACGCGGTAATCGCTTATCCATTAGGAGGTGACTAACAGACGTATCACCAGAACGACAGTTACTTCAGAGACGCCGTCAAAGTGCGATCCCATTAAGAAGTCTTGCAAAATAAAACCAAGGCACTGAAGTCGCGACTGTTTCAATAGTAAGGTCATCTGATTTACAGAATTCCATAATGAGCCAATGATATCAAAGTTAAATAAATCAAGCGTGAACGCTTATGTTTATTTTTACCGCCTACTTAAAACCCAATCAGAATGGTACTCTACTGTGAATGCCGTGCTCTCATTGGCCACAGATTGTGCACCAATGAGAAGGCCCGACACCGCTTTCCTCCAATCACTCCTCACCGCAGTCTCGAGGTCACTGCACTCTCAACATGCCCTGGAGGAGAACACCATGACTTAATGCCTTTGGTGGTGATGGAAGTTTC